TGGTGGTGGTGGTGGTTATGTGCTGTGCTTCCTAAAGTTCTCTAAAATGGTGGTGGTGGTATGCTGTGGAGTCAATTCCGACTCATAGCGACCTTGTTCAGGGTTTCTGAGGCTGTAAATCTTTACAGGAGCAGAAAGCCTTATCTTTCTCCTGTGGAACTTTACACAGGTGGTATTTGTCCTCCAACTAGTCATAGTTTTACCTCCTTTACTTTCCATGTGCTTATAACTTTTTAAAATGTTCCCATTGTTGTTGTTTGTTGTTGTTGTTATGTGCCATGGAGCCGGTTCTGACTCACAGCGACCCTGTACAGGGTTTCCAAGGCTGTAAATCTTTATGGGAGCAGAAAGCCTCATCTTTCTCCTGTGGAACAGCTGGTAGTTTCAAACTGCTGACCCTGAGGTTATCAGCCCAATTCATAACCACTACGCTACGAGAGCTCCTTAGCTAGCAAATGCCACGTTGTTGTTCTTATATGATGTCAAGTCAGTTCTGACCCATAGTAACCCTGTGTAGGATTTCCGACGAGCTGCTGGTGAACTTCACCCACCGACCCGGCTTTCACACCAATTGCCTTATCAATTATAATATACAAACCTCAAAATCCTCAGTCGATTTTTAAGTTCCATTTTTTTCTAAGTAAATAGTCAAACAGCATCTTGTAGCTCCATGCAAGGACAACTGCAGACAGAGTTGTCATATTGGAACTTCTGTTTAACTCTTCTCTTTGTCAGATCTTCTGGTGTGTACTGGATCTGATAAGTTTCCCCTTTATTTCTTTATTTTTATGAGGCACATTTCCCATCAGTTTTCTAAGAAATAATACATGGAAAGCAAAATACTTTGAAACCCTGAAGATCTGAAAAAACTTACAGTATACACTCATATTGGAGTCCCAGTGTGGTGCTGTATGTGAAGCACTTGACCACAATATCAATTTGAACCACAAGGTGGCAGTTCAAACCCACCAGCTGCTCCTGGGGAACACTATATAGGGTTGCTATGCATCAGAACCAACTCAACAGTACATAACCACAACCCTCATATTGGTTCACAGTTTGGCTGGGTATAAAATTCTAGATTGGAAATAGTTTTCTCACAGTTTTGTTATTTCACAGTCTTTGAAGCTCCATGACCCTCTAGTTTTCCAGTTCCTACTGGGAAACCCAGGCTTTCTGTCTTCTTCCAAAACTCTTGCCGTACCTTCACTTGCTTTGTGTGCTCCACATAGATGATGAACTGTTGTCTACTTTTGCAACTCTAAATATAAAAGTCCCAATGACTTTAAAAAAATTTTTTTAGTGTATGTGGGTTTGTATTCCTTTACTGTAATTTTAAGAAGCTCTGGGTTATAAGGTCAGTAGTTCAAATGTGTCAGCTGTTCCATAGACAAAAGATGAGGCTTTCTGCTTCCATAAATATTTACAGCCTCAGAAACCTTATATAGGTTACTCTGAGTCAAAACCAACTTCATGTCACATAATCACCACCTTTGCAATATTAGTTTAAAGTGAATAAAAAGAAAACTGAAGTTGTCAGTTGATCATGTTTATTCAAAATCCATTCACATCTTTAAATCTCCAAGTATCTAAGTTCATGCCAAGACTTTGCATTTACTATGACACAGTACTATTAGAACCCCTGAGAACAGGTAGTACTGTTCCCATTTGATGAGACAGCTGAGGGTCCAGGAATATTCATAGTTTGCTCAAGTTTCAAGAGCCAGCATGAGGCAAATTGAGATTAAAACTGTGTTCTTCCCCCTCTACACAAGCGCCATGGTGACATGCAATGATCTCTGTAAGCTAGGATACAAACAATAAAACATGGCAGATCTTCATTCTGGAGTCTACCATACCTTGCTGCAGTAAACTAATGCCACTGCTATGTTGTGAATTATTCCTTTGAACTATTCTCTGAGCCACAGAATGCAAGCTTTCCTCTTCAAACACTCTTTTATTCCACAGTAGAAATTGGAACACCTAAAACCAAGTAATTGCTGCGTGGTCTGACTCATACAAAATGGTGCAGTATATGAAAACAGACAAGGAAAACCAAAATCATGCTGTTTGGAGTCTGAAGGAAAATATACCTTAATATATAATGATGCTATTTCAGAGTCCAGTACAAAATGAAATACATTCACTCTTTGAAGCTTTTACGTACATTCCCACATAGTGTACAAATAGCATTCTCTAATTTGAAAACAAAAAAAATAAGTGATTACTTTCAAAGTCCAGTCTTTTCAAAGCACTGCAGAGCTTTTCAGCTAAGTGGCTATTTTCAAAAAGGACAGGGAACTTTCCAACTAGTATTTATGAACAAGCACACATGCCCAGTAATGTCTGGTGTGTTTGCGTCACTTCGACTTCCTGTCTGTGGTTATAACACACATTGTGTTCAATGATCCCTTCCTAGAGGGAGTTTTCAGGTAATGTCTTCTGAATAGTTTCCAGTTATTTGCTCATTCAAGAATTGTCTGTTGCTTTTCCCAGTTGAATACCAGGTCTTTGCACTCCATTAGTTTATAATCTAATTAGCCCTAACTGCATCTCCATGTAAATTAAATAGCCCTAATAAAGGGATTAAATGTTTGAGTCAAGCAATTTAAGAGTGAAAAAAGACAGAACCTCCTCTGACCTGGGTCAAGTCATTCTGCTGCTCACACCCTCAGGCATTTGCTCTACGAAACAAAATGATTGAAACAGATGATGTTCAAGACTGATGCTCTAGCTTGTGAATACTATTCCTACATTATCGATGAATCAACTTCAGCGAGTTATCTGAAACCGTCACCATTGTTTCAATACATGTGTGGCTATGACAGAATGTTGTCCATGTATTCATTCAATACATACTTACTGTGGTGAAACATATAATACATTGGATACATATTTGATACATATTAATATGCTCAGAGCTTATTTTAGTGGCAAATGCACATATATAGGCCTTAGCTTCATTGAGTTCAAAGTCCAAAGAGAAAGGATGACAAAAGGCAATTTGTGAATAAATAATAATTGTGACCAATGCTGTGAAGGATAACTACAGAGTGCTATGAAAAGAAAAACAGGGAAAGGTTCATTTAACAAGGTAGGGAGAGTTTGTGCTTAAAAGGTTCATTAAAGAAATGGCAAGGGCTATATACAAGAGAGTTTGCATTCAAGGAATTAAAAGACCATTCTGGCTTCTAAGGAGTCCTGATGTGGTGCCACAAAATAAGCACTGAACCTCAAGGTCTGTTTGAATCACTATGTTGGTGGTTTCCTGGGAAACCCTAGACAGGGTCACTATGCGTCCGATCTGACTCGATGGTATTTAACAACAACAAAGTAAGGCTAAGTGAGAACCTTTGGGACCTGTTCCATCTCACATATTTCAAGACTTTAAAATATATGAGTTATCTCCTTGATTCTGAAAAGGACTTCAAACAGTAATGAACAAGATCTGTTCCTGTGTTAAGTCTCCATGGTCTCCAGTATGGTAAAGGAATGAGGGTGGAATGAATCGTTCCTTAACAACTCATCAAGAAATCCTCTCCAATCTCCCACCGTTCTCTTTTTGTAATATACTTGAGGTGTCTGTTCACTTCAGAGCTATAGCACCAAATTTCTGAGATCTGCTTGGGAACCCTACCACATTAACTTTGGTATGTCAGAGCACTTGGCACCTCTGGTCCTGAATACTCTGGTCCTAAACTCTGGTAGCGCAGTGGTTACAAATCGGGCTGCGAACCTCAAGGTCAGCAGTTTGAAACTACCAGTGGTTCTGCTGCAGAAAGATGAGGCGGTCTGCTCTCAAAGATTTACAGCCTTGGAAACCCTGTACAGGGTCGCTATGGGTTGGAATCGACTTGAAAGCACGTAAAAACAACAACAGGCTAAACAGACACAAATACATACCATTTGGACAGCCTTTTCTAGACTCCATCAAACTGATATTTAAAATGATGATATCAAACACCCAGTACCACTACCATCTTCTGAAAATTCACAAACATCACTCTCTTGTCTGTTCTCCCTATAGCTCTCTGACACCCCTGACTTGGTGTACCAACACAGTTTCCTGTATGGCTCCCTATTTCTCCTCTCCTCATTGCGGTACCCTGTCCCAGAAAATGAATAGACTCCTGCTTCCTGCGGCAAGGTTTAATTGCCACCTACTTCCTCCTCTGTCCCTAGCAGGATTTGGTGTCTTACTAAGCCTTGCCTCCCACTTTAGATTACCATCAGCCCTGCTTTCATACAGACTTTACTGAGAGTCCACCTTTCCTGAGAGGTTGTCCAAAGGCACAGACTCTGTGATGGGAGGATGGGTGAAACATCATGACTTGCACTGTATGCGGAGGAATAAAAATGAGTAACTTGAATGAAGGGCAAATAAAATCGAACTTGCTAGAATGAACTGAGAGAGAAAAAATAAGTGGAGTAGGCAGAGACTTTCTGGAGTAATGAATAGAAAAGAAGTGGGGGGAAAACCTAAGCTGATAACTTAGGTAGAAAATGTGGGAGAAAGTAGACAACAATCTACCATCTATTTTGTCCATTTTGCACACTTCATACAAAAGCCACTTGGAAAAGGAATCATTTGGCTAGGGGAGCAAGCCTATTTCTCAGTTATTTATAACTGTTTTTGCTATGCGTTGTCAAATCAGTTTAGACTCATAGCGACCTTGTACAGGCTTCTGAGGAGCAGCTGGTGGGTTTGAACTGCTGACGTTGCAGTTAGCAGACCAGTGCTTATCCTACAACACAGTTATTGTTAAGTGCCGTCAAGTCAGTCCCTACTCATAGCGACCCTGTATAGGGTTTCCGAGAAGTGGCTGGTGAGTTTGAATTGTGGACCTTGCAGTTCAAACTGACCTTGAGGTCAAGTGTTTATCCTAAGGCGCAACACCAGGACTCCACAGCACCACATTAGTCACTAAGAAAAGGCAGGCTGTGTCCTAACCGATGTTTGGGGGATTTTTGTTTTTGTTTTTTTGCTGTGTGTCTGGCAGGAACCAATGCTAAGCATGGACTACGCTGCAAAGCCTGTAAGATGAGCATCCACCACAAGTGCATGGATGGTCTAGCACCCCAGCGGTGTATGGGCAAGCTGGTAAGGACAAGCTCCTGGGATGCATGAGCATCCTGCTCAGGGCACTTACTTGTTCCAATGAGATCATTCTCTAAACTCTCTTGCAGCGCCCTGAGAACCAAGCACCAACAAGACAGCCTCTGAATCCCTGAGCTGCCAAACTGGCTTCCTAGTATACATAGTAATTGAGTAGAGAGAGAGACTTGTCAACATTAAAGACAAATGCCTCACATGGGAAAAGGACCCAGGGTCCTTATAATGGTAGCCAACTTACTCCGCGCTGGGAATTTCTCAGTTGTAGCGCTTAAAGTCCCTGGTGCCCTGGGACTGTACAGCTTTTAAAACTGAAAGTCCTATATCTTGGGAACTCTCTCATTTCTAAACAAAATGACGATTGGTCACTCTAGTCCTTTTTGGCCATCAGCTGCATGAGTGTCAAGAGCGGGAGTAAAAAAATCTGCATCTTTAACAAAAGCATGAGATCAAACCCATTCTGGACCAACAATGTCATCTCAAGTGTGTGGACTTCAGTACTGATGAAACACATTGGAAAAAGGCAATACTTTTTTTTTTTCTTCCCCAAATAGCAATTTTGAAGTTATGTGAACCTAAGATGGCCAAACAATTGTAGAAGAGATGAGAAATGTTCTATTGTCTTTTGTGGCCTAGGGAGAAGGCCTAAGCCTGCAGGTAAACAAGTCTATATAATCAGAGGTTATGTCTCCCAAAGATCTGACTGCAGGGTTAGTGAATGCTCTGTCACCAGCAGTATTAAAAGACAAAGTGGACACCACTTAACAACAATGTTGGAGAAGTTTCTGGATTTCTAATAGGGCCTATGCTACAGACCACTAAGTTCCCTTGCAACGCTGGGATATAGTAAGTACAGGTTCTTCAGAGCCCATCTCCTGATCCTCACTGTCAGTTTCCTATTCTCTCAAACCCCTACTTCACGTAACTTCACGTGCTCCCCTCTTTGTCCTCCAAGGGTGATTCCCATGATCCAAGGCAAAAACAAGGAATGTAAAAGCAGCAAAATAGAACAGCATCCAGAACACAAAAACAAATGATCCAGAGTAAATCTCTTCAGATATGAAGGGTCTTTGGGCCTACATCCAAGGTCTGGTTGTCCTTTTATGATTTTAATAAACCACAATAATAAAATATGGTGAAGTAATATATGACCAACAATTTGTATTCTGGGAGATAATGAGAAAACCAGATACAAAGGAGGCAGGACAGGGAAGGGCAGGGACAGGAGTTTGCTTATTAACATGATGGTTACCTTGCTTATTGCCGCCTGTATCTTCCCCACAGGGATAAATTAAAGAAAAAGGCAGCATCTTAAAGGAGGAAAGGGATGTATCTCGGGAGAAAATAACAGGTTTATTTTACGACTCTTGTGTTGCTTTCTCCATTTGATTAATAAACACTAAGTCCTTCTCATTCTTTCTCCAGCCAAAGGGATTCCGACGTTACTACAGCTCCCCCTTGCTCATTCACGAACAGTTTGGATGCATTAAAGAAGTTATGCCCATTGGTGAGTTAAGGCATTGATGGGCTGAGGTGGGGTTTCAACAGCATTAATGGCAACTGTTCTCCTAGTCCTGTAAAACCAGCAGGATGTCTTCCTGTGTTTGTTTGATGGCACTTTGGGTTTTGATTATTTGTTTGTTTTGCTGGATGAAAAACAAACAAATGATACCATGGGCTGACTTCTGGAATTTTCAGTTGCGTAGTGGTTACGAATCGGGCTGCGAACTGGAAGGTCAGCAGTTCGAAACTACCAGCTGCTCCGCGGGAGAAAGATGAGGCGATCTGCTCCTGTAAAGATTTATAGCCTCGGAAATCCTGTACAGGGTCGCTATGGGTCGGAACCGACTCGACGGCACTTAACAACAACAACATCCCTGATGAAACTCCATAAACACCCAAGTCAAAAAGCTTCTCACACCCCATACCACCTGTCAAAAGCAAGGAAAGCTGAAAAGATCCTGGGGTGTGGCATCTTAAAAACCTGCCCGATAGCTTAACTTTCCCATTGACCAATTATATAACATCAAGCAACTTACTCAATCTTTCAGATCCTATGAAATGAAAACAGCCATATCCTCATGTGATGCTGTAGGATAAGCACTGGACTATTAGCCATAAGGTTTGTGGTTCAAACCTTGGAAACTACACAGAGTCTCTGAGTCATAAATGACTCATCAGCACAACAAAAATTAGGAGAAATTCAGTGAACGGCAGTTATTCTTTAACGAAGACAAAACATCTGAAGGGGCTTCAAAAAGTTCATGAAAAAATGTAATTAAAGGAAAATGGAATTTTTTGAAGCCCCTCTTATGTTCCTTATTTGTAGATATTTCTGTTGGATTTCTTATCTAACAATATAGGCCAGTTTACTTCCGCCCCCCCTTTTCTCTGAAAATCTTGCCTCTTTGGGGGTAATTTTTAAACTGACAAGTTTTAAACTAAGGTTTTAATTAGAAGTTCACAAAACCTAGCGATGCCAAATGCTGTCAAAGATACTTGCCTTCTAGTGCAAACTCTGTCTCAAACAATTTAATTTTCTGGGCAGAACCTCCCACAGAGGAAATAAATCTGCTCACTAGAGATAATATTAAAATTGGAACCCTGAGGATGGATAGTCATAGAAGAAAAGCAATCAGGAAGAGGTTGAGAGTAGATAGTTCTTGAAAGTATGGGGCGTAGTATACAGTGTTGGCAAATGGGAGCATGTTGGAAAAACCCCTGTAAATAAGGAAAGTTCTGCCACATAGTTTCCGTGTGGCACTGTAGGGTAACATACGGGACCACAAGGTCAATTTGAACCACAGTATCGGCGGGTCACTGTGACTTGGAACCTACTGGACAGCAGTTAACATACAACGTAACATATCAGTTGGGTTCACTGAACTGAGTCTGTGACAAGTGCTCTCAACCCAGGAAATGTGGTAAGTGGTTGGCTGAGCTCCTAATGAGTATTCTCTTCTGTTGCAGCCTGTGGCAATAAGGTGGACCCTGTCTACGAGACCCTTCGCTTCGGCACCTCCCTGGCCCAGAGAACGAAGAAAGGCAGTTCCGGCAGTGGCTCGGATTCACCTCACAGAACCTCTGTAATTGTCTCTCCCTCCTTCAGTTCCTCTCATAGTGGTCTTATCAGGAAAGGAGTTTTAGTTAAGTAGTGTTCCTATAACAGAAATACCACAAATGGTTAGCGTTCACAAACTGAAATTCATTTTCTCACCATCTGTTGTTGTTAAGTGCCATTGAGTCAATTCTGACCCATAGGGTCCCTGTCTAGGGTTTCTGAGGAGCAGCTGGTGAGCTTGAACCGCTGACCTTGCAGTTCAAACCAACTTTGCAATCCAGCTCATTAACCTACAGTGCCACACCAGGACTCCTTCTCACCATTTAAGAGGCTAGAAATCTGAATTCAGGCTACCAGCTCTAGGTAAAGATTGTCTACTCTAGGACACTATTCTTTTCTCAGCTTCGGTCGTACTCCTATATTACCTGTGCCATTGAGCCAGAATCAACTATCTGCTGTCTTAGTTATATATGCGGCTATTACAGAAATGGAGTCCTACTGTGGCGCTGTGGGTTAAAGCACTGGACTGCAAAGCTGTTTGAACTGCAAGGTCAAAGGTTCAAGCTCACCAGCCACTCCTCAGAAACCCTGTACAGAGACACTATGGATTAGAACCGACTCGACAGCATTTAACAATTATGAAAATACAAGTGGGTATAGGTTAGTGTTAGGGCACCAGTGTTAGAAGGCAGTTTTCTCTGTAGGCTTTAGGAAAAAATGCCTTCTCTATCTTGAGCTTCTGACTCCTCAGTTTTTTGGTGATCTTCATGTGGCCTGGCATCTATCTTCCCACATTTGTGTTTACTTGCTTCTTTGTATCTCAAAAGTGATTCCTTTTAGAATGTGGAGTGAGGAATCAGAGAAGGGTTTTGCTGTCAAAAGAGCTGAGCGTCAGGCGGTAGCTAGAGAGGCCTTGTGGGACCAGGGCCTGGGTGTGCCCAGGGCAGAACAAAAGAAAGGAACCTCCTGTCCAAGGGCATTGTTTGTTGTTGTTGTTAAGTGTTGTCAAGTCAGTTCCAATGCATAGCTATCCTGTGTAGAGTTCCCAGAGAGTGGCTAGTTGATTTGGACCACTGACCTTGCAGCTAGCAGGCCAGTGTTTATCCAGCAGTGCCACCCCAGGGAAGTCAAAATCAGTGATGCTGACTACAGGTGGGCCTCTGTTTTATTGTCACCATGTTCCCAGCCTTTCTAACTAATGCCAGTGATAAAATAACTTCCCCTGGGGGGGGGGGAAATTATCTTGGTCTAAATTCTAAACCATTAAAAAAAAAAAGGGGGGATTGCTTTTAGACATAGTTTACACTGATAGGGCCTGTCACAAAGTAAATCCTAATCCCAAATGGGTTAACATCACTAGGTTTAGGAATTACCATTTGCAACAAATATTTTGAGGGGACACAAGTCTATACCATGTGTCTTATTAACAATACGCGCCTATGTGTGTTGTTAAGTGCCATTGAGTTGGTTCCGACCCATAGTGACTCTATATAGCATTTCTGAGGAGCAGCCAATGAGTTGGAACCACTGACCATGAGGTTCAAAGTGAATTGGCAGTCCAGCGCATTAACCCACAGCACCACACCAGGACTCCATATCTATGTCAAAGGTACTATACTAATAATTACATTTGAGTGATCAAGGATTTGATAGTAAGATGCAAAATGTTGACTTTCAGTAGGGATTTGCCTTAAAATGGTGAAGGTATAATTTGTAATATTTAAGCTGAAATGCTGATGATCTCTCTAGGGAGGCTATAAATCAAATTGGCAGTTCAAGTGGTAGTATTAACTTATTTTCTAAAGGAAGAATAGAAATGGTGCTAAATGTGGTGAAAAAATATAGAGGTGTGTGTTTGTATTACTATGTTATGGCTCTGTGGGTTGAATAATGATAACAATATATGTAAAATTTCTAACACAAGACCTAACATAATAGGTACCCAATAAGTGCAAGTTGTTGCTGCTCTGTTTTCATTAAGCATCTAAGCCTGAGTGTTCTCTGAACTTGACTTACTATGAAGTTACACATGTTGTTGTTGTCATGTGCCATTGAGTCGGAACCGACTCATAGCGACCCCATGCACAGCAGAATGAAACAATGTCCGATCCTGGGCCAACTTCACTACCGCCGCCACACTTGATGCCATCAATGATGTCACCTGGCTGATCCATCTCGTTGGGGGTCTTCCTCTTTTTCTCTGAGCTTCCACCTTACCCAGCATGACATCCTTCTCCAGCGACTGTTCTCTCTGGACAATGTGTCCAAAGTATGAGAGACGAAGCCTAGCCATCTTGGCATCCAAGGAGCACTCTGGTTGCACTTCTTCCAAAACAGATCTATTGGTTCTTTTGGCAGTTCATGGCACTTTCAGTATTCTCCTCCAACACCACAACTCAAAGGCATCAATTCTTCTACGATCTTCCTTATTCACTGTCCAGCTTTCACATCCATATGAGGTTATTGAAAATACCATGGCTTGGGTCAGGTGCACCTTAGTTCTCACATGTGTTATGTGAGAAGAGCTTTGCCTGAAACCTGAAGAGACCCCATTATTCTCAGGCTCTATCAGAAACTCCAAGGAGCTCTGGTAGTGTAATGGTTACGCATTGGGCTGTGAACCACAAGTTTAGCGGTTCGAAACTACCAGCTGTTCCGTGGGAGAAAGATGAGGCGTTCTGTTCCTGTAAAGATTTACAGCCTCGGAAACCCCGTACAGGGTCACTATGAGTCAGAACCAACTCCACGGCACATAGCCAGCCAGCCAGCCAGCCAGCCAGCCATCAGAAACCCTGGGCTTAGTTAGTCAAGGATTCTACTACACTCTCCTCCTGGTTGACCTGTTGTCTCCTTCTGTATCCTCCAATCCCCCTTTAAATGAGGGTGCTGCCAATGGTCTTCCCTCTCTTGGTTTTCTTGTTCCACATGTTCTTCCTGGTTGATCTTGCGGAATGATCACATTCCTTTCTCCAAACACTATCGCAAAGCTGGTAACACCCTTAGCTATTTCCAGTCCTGACTAGGGTTTCAAACCTGTTCATTCCAGGTAGAACCCCTGCTGATAATTAGCATTTCTACCCCAGGTATGGAGTCCTGGTGTGGCCTGCTAACCACAAGGTGGATGGTTCAAACCCACTAGCCACTCCTTGGAAATCCTATTCAGGGTCACTATGAGTCAGAGCGACAGGCAGCACTTGACAACAACCCCAAATGGACAGCATCAGAATCTACATTCAAATAAGACATATGTAAGAATCTCCGGGGCCTCTAGAAGAATAACCCTGGGATCTTGTTACACTATAGATTCTAAATCGTATCTCTGGATTTAAAATGCAAATTCTCAGCTGTGGGTGGGTCCCCAATGAATCTGTTTGAGGCCCTGAACCTAACCTAAAGTCCTGCTCCTGACCAGTCCTACAGATTCCTCAAAGTCAGCGAGTCCAATTAAAGTCATGTCCAAACGGTGATTGTCATTGTTTTTGTTGTTAAGTGCCTTGGCATTGATTCTGACCCATAGCGACTCTATATAGGGTTTTCGTGGAGCAGCTGGTAAGCTTGAACTGACAATAGTGTGGCTCAAACTGACTTTGCATTCCAGCGCATTAACACACAGCGCCATACCAGGACTCCAAAGTTATTGGTGGCTGCTCAGTATGAAGCAGAGAACAGCAGCATCAAGTCAGACCTGAAGAGCTTGGTGAATAAGGGGATACTAGTGCAGGCCAGGAGTACTGGCACCTTTGGGTCCTCCAAGATCAGCATGAGAGCCACTCTGGAACCTGTTAAGTGTTGTTTCCAAAGAGCAGCTGGTGAGCTTGAACCGCCACCTTGAGGTTCAAACCGACTTTGCAGTCCAGCGCATTAACCCACAGTGCCACACCAGGAGAAATAATTCAGAACTCAGAAATGTATGTCAAATGCTTCCCTCCTTTCTGTTATCAGCACTGGAGATGCAGATTATTACACCAGTGCTTGTCATGCTCATTTTAAAGGACTAACCATGCTGCCCTCTTCCTTTTGATTCCATCCTTAGTAATAACTCTAGATTTATCCTCTTCAGGCAGCTTTTATAATTAAAATGCCTGATAACAATGCCCAAACTGTAGCCTGGCATAGGAGGTCTAACTAGACGATTACCCCTATTTACTCTAAAGATCAGCCTTCCCATGAACACACCAAGCTTTCAAACATCACATTTCTCTTTAAACTGCTGTTTCTCCAGTTGAAATTCTTTTAAGAACAAGCTTGGTTTCTATATACACCACAAAGTGCTCCCTGGCTCCCCTAGGCATATGGAGTTGTTCCTCACATAAGTCTTGAAGAATTTCTCTTTTGTAGTACATACACGGAAGCTTCAAAAAGCTCATAGAAAAATGCCATTGTCTTTTAACTCAAATTTTCCATGAACTTTTTGAAGCTCCCTCTTTCATTTTTGTTCTGTTGTACATAGGGTTACTTTGAGCTGAAAATGACCCAGGGGCACCCAATAGCAACAAAAGTATATACATCCACTACCCGTCTATTCGCTTGCCTTACTGTGGTGGCTTGGAGTTCCCTGTGATCCTGGAAACTATGTCACCTGTATTTCAAAGGCCAGCAGAACCCCTGACACTGGACAGGTTTCTGTAGAGCTTCCAGACAAAAGGACACTAAGCCTGAAGGACTGGAGGTCTATTTGGATGCAATCAGAAGGATCAGTCATTGGCAAAGGATATCATGTTTGGTGAGGTTGAGGGCCATCAAAGACAAGAGATCCTCCTTCAGATGGACTTGAACATGCCAAAGATGCTGAGGATGATACAAGGCTGGGCAACATTTTGTTCTGTTGTATATAAGGTTGCCATGATTGCTTTGTAATAAAATCCTCTGCCATCACTTTCCAGAACTAGATACTGAGCAACTATAGAACAGGGGCCTGGTAATATTAACACTAGATCCTGTAGTACCTGGTACATAGTGAACACTTGGGAAATACTTAAAGGACAATGGAAGAATTAATAAGGGATACATGAAGACAGACCTTAA